CATTAAATACCCCAACATCCTATTTACGTTTTTTATAACTCGTAAATTTACGCAATCTGAGCTATGAAGATCAATAGCCGCTCATAGACTTCAGCAAAATAATCCATTTTTATTTTCGCAAATATTCAGTAGCCATAGACATACGAAAATTTGTCTTAAATAATGTTTCTAAAAGGAGTAATATAAATGCATGTTGATTTAATAAGAAATAAAAATAAGTTTCTATAAAAAGATATCTCATTAATTCTTTTCATTTTCTCATTAATTTTCACTTAGAATCATTGTTTTAAGGCCATTTGTTATCTTTAACAACAAGTATCTTGTTGCTTTGCATTCCCCCCTTTTGTACGCGATTTGAGAATATCTTCACTTGTTTTTGAAGAACTCGCAATATATTGTTCATTTAAATATTTATGAAAAAATAAAACAAACCTAGATTTTCAAAATGGGAAGGATTGACTAAGCGGAAAAGTGATGATTCACATGTTGTGGATCAGGACAATCTATTAGCACCAAGAATATTGAAAAGAAAATAATTGTTTATAGAAAATATAATCAAAGTTATATATCATTTGGGTTTACCTGGAACGGAGATGAAATGGACCCTCAACCTCAATGTCTTGTTTGCGGTGAAGCATTATTCAAAGTATGAAACCATCTTTTCTTAAAAGACATGTTGAATCTAAGCATGACAAACCTGAAGAATATTTTAAGAGGAGATTATCGCAGTTCACAAATAGTAAACAAGTAATAAAGGGTTTTGTTACTTCAAGTGAAAAAGCTTCAGAAGCTAGTTACTTAGGTAGGCTCACACTATTGGAGAAAACCTTAGATTGCAAGCAGCAAAAGATATCGTTTTAACATTATTCATCGAAAAATCGGCTAGTGAACTTCATAATGTTCCATGAGTGTTTCGCATTGCAATTGGATGAAAGTACTGATATAACGAACTCTGTTCAATTACTAATTCACATAAATTCGCTTCGAAGAAGATAAAAGAGCTTTCGAAGAGTATTTATTTTGTTAATCTTTTAATATTAGAGCAACTGCAAATGACATTTTCAAAGTAATGGACAATTTTATGTCTGAGAATGATATTCCTTAGAATAAGTGCATTGTCTTATGCAGTGGCGGAGTTCGGGCTAACCGGAAAACATTCCGGTGTTATTTCTCAAATAAAGAAAGTTACACCTGAAATTAAATTTACTCACTTCTCCATTTATCGTGAAGCTTTAGTAGCCAAAACAATCTCCGAAAACCTGAGAATCATTTTGAATCAAGCTGTGAAAACTGTTAATTTTATTAAAAGCCGAGCTTTAAATTGAAGAATAGTTACATATTATTTGGCATAATGAATTTTATGCCAAGAAACGAGCATTGAACATGAAACGCTTTTACTACATTCCGAAGTTAGGTGCTTGGTTATCCAGAGGAAAAGTTTAAAATTGTCTTTTTGAACTTCGATCAGAAATTCAAATTTTCTTCTGTGATTCAAAATTTAAATTGCAAAAATATTTATTTATGGAATTATGGTTAGCGCGTTAGAATACTTAGCTAATATTACTGGAAAATTAAATTAATTAAATTTAGGACTGCAAGGGAAAGTGTTAATTTGCTTACCATCTCTACATATAATAAAAGAAAGAGTCTGTCTGTGTGTGTACCTTTCGTTCGTGCTGCGCTAAGCTAACAGACGCAGGGCTACGAAATTTGGTAGTTAGGTGCATCTAGACAAGAGCCACTGCAACTCGAAGCGTTTTTTCCGGTATTCGAATGAGAATGTTTTAAATTTTATCTTTTTTGATGAAATCGCAGCATTTGGAATAGTTTCATTCCATTAGAAATGTGGTTTTGGCAACAGTTTTTCATTCAATGCTTTGCATATTGGACTGCTGATTGTTGAAAATATGAGATAAAATGCTGTTTGTTTTCTTTTGATTTTGACGCACAACACTCACATTGCGATCTCCTTATTCGGACGCGCTTCTGTCTCGCGAGGTACAACAAAAAAGAATTTCCTTTTTTCTCTCTCTCTTTATTAGCTAACGGCAAAGAGGTTTGTGTATTTTGAATTATGTCATCCACAAAGGACAATTTTGATTGGTTATTGCTTTCTGATGATAGTTTCATTCCTTTAGAAACGTGGTTTTGGCAACAGTTCTGTTGATAGTTTCATCCCTTGGCAACAGTTGCATTACTGTAAGCAAAAGGGTGTCCTCGACGCCTGCCCTGGGTAATTCAGCTTGAATTAGCAGACACCTTTGCACAAATCATTTTAATTACAATTTATAATATCTAGAACAGCGGTCATTTCGTATGACCTCCGGGCTTTCTAGTTTCAAATAAAGCTATTAAATTTTTATTGCCTTTTTGCGCAGCCTATTTGTGTTCACAAGGATTTTCTTCCATGTTATATTTGAAAAATAACTACAGAACAAAATCAAAAGTTGATCCTAATTTACGATTAAACTTAAGTGAAATAATTTCAGACATAAAGAAATTGACTCTCACAAATAAGCTCAAATTTTACTTTAAATTTTAGAATTAAAGTATTATAACTTAATTTTGAAAATTAAAATGGTAACCAATTTTTAATCTAATATTTTTACGTGTGCATATTTAATACAAATAGCGAATAGGTTGTGCAAATGGTAAAATATGTTTTTTTAATATTTCTATTGAAAAACTGAAAAATAATCATTGTAAAATGTAGTGGTGATACTAAAGTTTTTCAATTATTGTTTAGATGGTACGCGTTAGTCAAAAGGTTGAGAAGCACTGGCATATAGCCTCCTTTCGATTTAAGTTAGAACTTCATATGTAACTTATGCCAAATTTTTGGAACTGTTTTTTATTAAAATGAAATGGAACTTGGATTTCTAGTAGTGGTTTGGTAAGAATTTGTAACTCAATTTTAAAATTGGAAATTTATGTGCAAATATTTTTAATTTTGTGAACTTGGTTAATAATGATATTTGTCAAAAATTTTTTAGAAATGTTGGAATGCCGTTGTATAAATTTATTGGTATAAAAATCAAAAGGTTTCCTTTTATCAAAAATTATAATTTATCTACAATTAATGATATTAATATCTAGAAAGTCAATGGAAGTTTGTTCTTCATTTATTTTATTAAGTTTTATTCAAAGTCGCTAGATGATGCTATTCCTAATAGACGCTCATTTTTTACGTATATATTAGCATCTATGGACCTGAAGGTAAGTTTAAATTTATCATCTATTTGATTGATGAATCCATATTCTATTCTTTTCAAAAAGATAAGGGTTACAGATATTAGTTGAAATAATTAGTTGAATATTAGTTGATATTAGTTGAATTAGTATAATAATATTCCTATAGATACTCGACTAATATAATATTAGCTGAGTATCTATGGGAATTCCATTAATTCGCTGGCATATGTAATTTTCGAATTTAATACATTTTTTTTTAAAATGAGGCATTGAAGTTAATCAGACCATTCAATTTTGACTGTCTAAAATTTGATAAATTTCTCGGAAAAAAAACCTAGTAATTCTATTAAGCAACTGTAAATGTTTGCCTGATTTTCTGAAGCTGTTATGCAAAATAAATATCGTTGGCTTTTATTTTGCAAAACAGCTTCAGAAATTTTCTAGCTTGGATTTCTAGTTCCATTATCAATAAAGAGAAATTTAATGGGATTTTCGTGCAATTTAGACAACGCATATAGGTTGGAAGATCGGTTGTTTCTGGTTTTGAGGGTAATTTTAAGCATGTTGCGAAATGCAATCATCTTCTTTAAAATGGGGTTTTCATAGATCGAACAGTTTTATAATTTCTTTTTTAATAATTTCGGGATAAAATTTCTTGAAGTTGATGCTAAAGTAGTTTCTGGCTTTTGAAATTTTGGTAATAATAAATTTATTTTGTAAATCATTAATATATTACTTTAATTTATGCTAGTGCAACTTTCCTTTACAATTTCTGAATTTACTGAGTTCTTTCTTGGTAGTAGAGTATTCTTCCATTCTAAGAATGTTTCAGTAGGATAGTTGTATTTGTAGTCGGTTTGAAAAATGACTTTATATATATATATCTTATTTTCTTGGGTATTTCCCCCCCTTTTTTTTTTGATAATTTTATCGCCCAAAACTCGAAACGAGAAAATTAAGAGAGTAATTAAATTTCCGAAGTACGTGGTTACAGTAAGAACATAACAAATGAAATGCAATCATGGAACAAAGAACCGGCAACTATCACAATATTATTTCATTTTTTTTAAAGAAAAACCTGCATTCCAATAAGAATGTATAGTAATATTAGCTAGGCGTGGCCTTGGCAGATAGCTTACGAGGGTTTGTCTTCGTTAGTAAGATGAAAATCCCTACGTGAACAAATTCATTTTTTAAATTTAGGGCAACTCGTTCTCTGAACCCGTTCAGGTAGAGGAAAATTACGCAAATATTATTTTTTAATTTTCAGAAACAGCGCTAAAACGCCAGGCAGAAATGTGTATACGGAAGGAATATGGTACATATGTATGCATTTACACTGCTCGGATTATAAATCTATTCTTATTCTTCATATGTAATAAACGCATATGCAAATCATAATTCAGCTTATCTCATTTAAATTTAAACAATAGTCGCTACTAAGTAAATATGATAAACGAATACTTTGAAAACCGGAAGGAAAATATTCGTTAAGAAGGTTGAGTTTATTTATTGTACTTCTAAAATAACAAACACTAGGATTATCTCATGCAGCTGCACAGCTGAAACTTTTGAACGTATTGTAGAAATATTTTGAAATGTTCTATTTCTAAAAACCTTTTCGTTTTTAAGCAGTTCCTACAGATAAAATGATACAGAAGATAGATTGCAGGTTCTTGTCGAGGTGGATATCAGTTGATGATAAACTCGAACTCAGCATGCGTTGCCTGGAAACTGCAAGTAATGCATTGTTTCAATATCCATTCTTTTCACTAAAGTCGCTGAACCCTGATAGATAAAATGTCAGTATTCGCAATTTGTTCTTCCAGTCTTACTATATTTAAACGATTTTATCAACAGAAAAAATGAAATTCCTTTCTAAATTAGACTTTCGTATACTAAAAATATAATTATTTATACAGTTTCTGTATGTCTTTTTATATGATTTACTAATCAAAAGCTAAAAATCTGGAAACTTGTGGAAATTTTATTGATCCGGAAATTAGTATTTTATTACAAAATTTATGGACTTTGCATATCTTCTTTGAGAAAAATGGAAAATATCTTTCATAGCTGCAGTTAATGATAACCGTTTTGCTATTTATGGTGCCATTTGTTACGTTATTTCTCCAAAAGCCCCTAGAACACAGTCTTCGTCAAAGCATCTTTTGACTAAACCATGTAAGTTATCTTAGATTGTGAAAACGGATATTTCATAAACACTTAAATTCTGCTAAACGTAAAAGTCTAATAAATAAATATTGATTAAAACCTAGTTCTTTCTATGCATTTACGATTTTAACATTTTCTTTTCTTAAAGTCTTCTTTAAATAATGTTCACGAATTATGTTATTTATAAAATGCAATGCAAATAAGTCTTATTCATTAGTAAGCGTTTTATAATTTTTAAGAACTTGTTTAAAAATGAAGTTTGTTTTAAATTAATATTAAGTTCCATTTTATACTTCTCTATTTTACAAAAACAGAAAGTTCACATTTAATTGATATATTCTTGTAACATAATACAGTGTTCCTACTTATTTTTGGATACTTGTGTTTTTGAAATTTACATTCAGAAAACATTTCTAGGGATTAAATTAACGGCTTTAGAGTTTTCTCATTTATTATTCACTGCTTTCTTCAAAATTTAATAAAAAATGTAAGTCCTGAATGGTTCTAAAGATAAAGTAATTTATTTAAAATATAAAATGTAATTATTTGATATTGAAAAGTTTTTTTGAGATTTTTTACAGTCGACTGTTTTTGTTACATTTGATTTTAAATTGCAAAATAATTTAGTAATCTGGGATTTGAAATGAGCACAGCAAGGTGCTATACAGTTAGTAAAATTTCTATTAAAAATTTAGCAACATTGTAAGATGATAAAAGTAGTAAAAATATTGTAGAAATCGTCAGTGCAAAACGCCACTTGCCTTTCGTGTTACGAAAACATGTGTATATTGCAAAGAACAATTAAAGTGGCCTTAAAATCAAGAACCGCATTTCGAGTTAAAACAAAAAAATTGACAATTTATTCATTAGAATATTAAGCAAAACACAGCGCTTAGAGCTGTAAAGCTTACAGCTTGATTAGAAAATTTTGGGCGGTGAAATTGAATCTTGAAACTAACAGAAATCGGAGCATACAGATATAATGATTTAATTTCCAAAATCAATGGTAAGCAAATATTTATCATATTTTCATAATGTAATATTGCTATAATTTGAAGCCAAATCAAAATTTACTATATTTGGATCAGATGAACGAATTAATTTGAGGTGAAAATCCAAAGCAAAATTGAACCTGAAAATCTGAATGCCTATTGTAAAGAAAAGAAGATGAGGTAGTATAAGTTTGGGGATGCTTCTCTATCTCTATGACGGGAAGTTTTCATTTTTATGCATTGTTACAAAACTTATGAAATTTTCTGAACTAACTTCTGTAGGAACAAAATTGTAAGACAGAACGCATTTAAATTCTACCAGGATAATGATCTTAAAAAATACAGCTCTATACGTTCGCTTATAGCTATTGTACGACTATCTTGAAGTTATCAAATTTCTTTCATATTCGCCGAATTTAAACGTTATCGAACACATGTAAAGTGAACAATAAAGGAGAGCAAGGAAACCTGATTTCTTCAAAAGGCAAGTAATTTTGAAGAAGAAATCGAATAATATCAAAATTTTTACACACACAAAAAAGTTTGAAGCCATGTTAAAGTGCATTATAATTTTAGCAAAAGGGAATCCAATTTAATATCAAATATTTGATTATTTTTGCATTTTTTAAATATCAATCGTGTCTTTTAAATGTCCGTAACTGAGATCGTTTCAAGAACCTCTTGAATAAAATATTTCATTTTAAAAAACATTTTGAAATTAATTTTTTACTGCAAGCAGATTTTGAAAAAATAAACAAAAAATATTAGAAATCATTTCTTTTCTTTAATGTTTAGATATTCTTTCATATTCTTTGCAAATTAATTTCAAAATACAAGTATCCGAAGCTACAAGAAAAGAATGTTATTAATTATTTACATTGCATTTTGCATTTAAAAATATGTGTATACATAAATGCTTTAAACTTAAAGCATTCTTTGTTAATAATAACATGTTGTATATAATCAATAATGCATAATGGATCAATGGAGTTTGCTTTAATAACTGTAGTATCAAAGTAGCACCAGCACTTTCTCTTGCAGTTTAATTTTCTATTATTAGCGCCACACCAAAAATATAGACCTGTATAGCTTTTTTGTTACTGTAACATAATTTAATTTTAGGTAGTTTTTCGTAGTTTTAAGCTATGTGGAGAAAGATATCTAAGCAACGCTTACAAAAAATAATTATTGCAGTATAATATTAGATGTCATAATCCAACTTTGGCAAAGTGTTAGAAATTTAAGCTTCTTTTCCAGAAAACAACAATATTGAGATTCAAGTTTGTCGTGGTACCAATAACACGCATTTTATATCGTAGTTAAAAAATGTATAATCATTTAAATTCACAGATTCTTACATTTTCCCCATCAGAAGCTCTGCATGCAATATATTCAGGTGACTTTTTTTTTGGAGGGGGGAAATGAGCAAAATAAAATTCTTTACTACTGTATCCTTCGGTAAGTAGTAAAGAAAATATTTGGCTAAAATTTGCTTATTAAGAATAGTTGAGATCCGTGAATTCTGCTAAAATATTATCACAATTCCAATGTTGTTTTTGTTGCTTTTTGCCTCATAATAAAAATCTTTAAACTGTTGTTTTTAAGGGAACTGCCTCCAAACACCTAAGCTTAAACGAAAAATATGGTTATTGCTCGGTATGTGCTTGAGACAATCCAGCTTCGGATCTGTAAATCTTCCTAAAGAAGTTTTAATTAATTATTTATAAATTGAGCAAAAGTGGAGTTATTAGTTTTAGCGAAGATTCTTATGCGTCTTGAATGAGAGATGTAGAGTCATTATGTTTATCGATGCAGAAGAACGGAAAATTGTGCATTTGCCGATTTGAACATCAGACCTCCCGGTTGCCAGCTGGGCGTGTCATCGAACTGACAAAGGAATGCAGTAAGGAGGAAGAAAATATCTTATATACTGGCCTTTTTAAAGGAAGATTGCGGATGAGAGAAGCCATCCGCCAAATCCTGGTGATGATTAATTATCATCCACCGTCTTTTAGATTGAGGACCATTTTTACAATTGTTAGGTTATCGATGCAGGAGACTGTAAAATGTGCAATGTTCTAGCCGGAATTCGAACATCGGACCTCTCAGTTGCCATTTGGACGTGCTATACTATTACAACACGAAAGCACACGGTAAGAAGGGAAGAAAATACCTTATAGAAGATGGGTTTATATTATGGGATAGTACTACAAATGGTGCAGGCAGAACTTTGTTAATATAAGGTGAGTAATGCTAGTATATCGCTGTAATGCTAAAAAATGAGGTATATGACATTTGGTTAAAATTTCGAAGACCTTATTTTTGAGTTTCATGAAACATTGTCATTCAAAAAATTAGCTAAACTTAGAAAAATCGCCTTGCATTACAAAAATGCTTGAAAACTTTTGTGTGTTATTTATATTATATTAATACAAGAAATTAATGCTTTGCTGGTTATATCTTATTTCAGGCTTACTCTGATGAAATTCTTTTTATAAATCATCCATTTTAGATATTCTCGATTGGGTAGGTTAAAAACACTTCCCATCTCATCTTTTCCATTCAGGGAAAACGAAATATGATTGGACCACTGAAATATATGTCAGAAATGATGTCTCAGTTACGCTCTTTCCCTTAAATTTGGTATTCAGATAATATTTAGATACAACATTTAATGTCATATAATAAGGATGGTTAGCACAGTATATGATTTTCTTTATTTAATTGTAATTCAGTTATCTTGATATTAAGTCATTACGATTTTTGAAGAATAATTGCGGTAAATTATTTTGAAAACTCAGAACGTTAAAGAGAAACGAAAATTGACAACTTTTGAGGAGTGTCTAGCCTTAATCCTGATTTAAAAATATAACTCTCCAAAGACTCATTAAAATCTTAAGTGATGCTACTATCACAGGTTTCAATAAAACTGGTTTATTATATTAACGCTTAATTCTTTAAAAATTTGCGTTTCATCGTGGAGGAAAATATTGAACCGTTTGTAGAGAAATGGACCATCCTCGGAGCCATCCTTCTTTATGACCATCCTCGGAACAGAATTAACAGATAGTATTCAAATATTTTACAGCTGAAACAAGTGCTCTCAGTTCCACTTTAAAAAGCTTTTTAGTTTTCTTTGTTTCAGTCACAATTTTTCAAAATTATTTAGAATGTGTGAATTTTTATTTTTATTTTTCTAAAGCAAATAGTATAACAACTCTTCTCGTTAATGACTTTCAGTAACTAATAAACAGGATGGATGTAATGTGAAATCAGTGAAAATAGTTTTGTACGCACTCAACACAATTTTAAGCTATGTGCTCTGATTTTCTTTCTTACTTTCTTACTTTCTTTCTTTTCTTCTTTTCTTTTTTTTTTTTTTTTTTTTTTTTAATTATTTCTTAAAGAAAGCAAAACAATCTTCCTTGATATAAAAGAAAGACTAAAGTGGCACTATTTGTGATGTTCTGATCGTGACACCGGCAGAGGGAGAGAAAATTTTATAGTGACACAATTTTTATTGCCAACTCCAGAAAGCCTGATATAGGCAAATTTGAAAGGCGGTGTAGGATTTTGCTAGGGCTTTTTGAATGGAAATCGTGACCGAGGAGTAAGAAATTTAGAATTTCCTCTAAAAGTTCGTAAAAATTAGAATGTGTAAGAATTACGGAAAACTATTAATAAGTTTATAGAAGGAAAAGTAGAAAATTAGAAGATTTGGATGAAATTTCCAACTATATAGCTGTATGTAAAACTTAACAACAAATCTGGTATCTATAGCTTAATTTTCAAGCAGAGTCATACTAATTCAGAAGTCAAACAACAAAAATCAGCGTTATATTTTCAAAATTTTCACAGGACTAGTTTCGATGGTTTTACCGAACCACCATCCTCAGCTGCACAACCGCAAATGCAGTTGTGTAGCTGAGGATGCTGCGGTTCCGCAAACATTTGCGGTTTTGAAGCTGAGGATGGTGGTTCGGTAAAAGCATCGAAATCAGTCCTGTGAAAATTTTG